ATATATATTGTGTTTAAAAACTTGTCAACAGCGGTAATGAAATAACGCTTTGTGAAATTCCGCACACAAAGAGAATGGAAAAAACGCAGGATTATTAAAATAATTTACAATTAATATAATATTTATATAAATAGTATTTTTAAAATTCTAAGAAATACTCTTTAAATACTGAGAAATCTTCTTAAATAAATTCTTAAAGAAATCCTTCTATTAGCGAGCTAATGTTTATGTTGTTTATGTTTATGTTTATGTTTACATACAATAGACAGGTTACTTAGCTGGTGTCATGCTATTGGCATCTCTTCTAGTGACCTTCGGAAAAGAGTAGGGGGCGGTTGCGAGATAGTGCTATTGTAGTCATTCATTGTCGGAGAATGAATTGCTGTAAGCAAGTCATTCAGCTTGAAGAATGAATATATAATGGTGAAAAAACTTACCGAGGGCTACTGATGAGAAACAGTATTGCCCGCGACATCTGTGGTTTATTTTTTTAACTATTTACAGCGTAACTAGGGTAAAAAATGTATCTACTTTATCTACTTTTCACCTGATGACAATTGCACGCCTCATAAGCGAAGCGTTGAGGTTGTGCTCTACTCTCGACATTTCGAAAAAAGCAGTTTTCTCGAAACTGAAATTGATTTTTTGTTATTTATATCGCACTTACAGGTTAAAATGAGTACACTTATGTCAAGTCAAATAATTTTTCAGGCACATAAAATATACTTCAATAACAATTTTTTTGTTTAACATAATAAATAATAACATTAAACATTATCTTTTTTGGACGTCCGTGTATGAATGGGTGTATGTGGTAGGGAAATTGGTCGAAAAAATGATCGTACCGGAATAATTTTTTTTTAATTATCTAAAGTAACACACGACAGAATTTCTTAGTTAATATGAGCGTTCAATTCACTGTCGTTAAATTATTATTTATAAAAAACTAATATATGACTGTGGATTTTTTTGTATTTCTATCTATACATTTTATTATAGTATTTTGTTTCCTCACCTTGCAGTTATGGCGCCACTAAACCATAGCAGTGTTTTCTGTTTTTTATTATTTTGCTTTTTATATTTTATTTTAATCAATTTTATTTTAAAAAATGAGATTATGAGGCGTGCACTTTTGGATTTTCCAAACTTTTTATTTATTTTTGCATTTTAGATTTTTTTTTAAATTATAAGTAGTTCAGCTTATTTTTTTAATGAAAAAATATTTATTAAAGTAGTATTAACAATATCGTAATTTTTAATTAATAAATTCACAGCAACAGGTAGAATTATTTTATAACGAGAATAATTAAAAAATTAATGAGAAAATTTATTTTGAATTACAAAATTATATAATAATAATTAATCAATATTTACAAAACATCCGATTTTTTTTCTAACAATATCACCCCACAAAACAATTTTTTGACAACTCGGACAAATTCCATTGATAGGCAAAATCTTTTTATCATTCTTCCGAAATAATTTTGCTAAACAAAAAATGTGTGTAATACAATTACAACATTTGTACACACACTCAACTCTATCTCTCTCATCAACAATTTCATTCTTACAAACAAAACATCTATTATTAAAATCACTCGTACAATTTATATTATTTTCTCCTTGGAATTTATTCTTTTGAAGCTGCTTGGAGACCCAGCCAATTTTCTTGGCTTCCACAGCTCCATAGTGAACTTCCATGTGCCTCGGAAACTGGAGCTTCATCATCCAGTCAGCGGAAAACTTCAAATCCAGCCACTGAATTTTAAGCGGAAGTCGGCACCACGGAGAAACTTGCAACATCTGGGCCATTGATGATATTAAATAATTCACCTGGGTCTGGTTTGATTTTTTTTTTAGCAAATGTCGTGTGTGTCGACTCAGTTCTAGATGCTGCCATGCCCACTCAAACTAGAAAAAAATTTTTTTTTAGTAAATAGGTAATCAAAAAATAAATTATAAAAACAATTCGTTAAAATTTTAATTAATAATTACCTATTATTATTATTTATTTTAAAAAACATACCCTTAGACCTAACCTAGAATTTGGAAATCCGTGAATGATGAGAATCATGTTCCTAAAAACAAAAAAAAAAATAAAATAATTAATCAAGCTCCAAGTAAAAAATTATAAAAAAAATTCAACAGTACCAAGGACCTTTGTTGTGAGTTCTTTTTGCTCCTCCGAAATCCATGCCCGCATTATGCCTTTTCAATCTCCTGACAGGATCCACCGTATATCCTATATAAGTCCTTCCTTTAAATTTTGGATTTTGGCACAATAATAAATAAACTCCATTAAAATTTTCTATGACTTGACTTTCCATTCTTTGTTAAATAAATAATCACTTAGATGTTTACAGTTTGTTATTGTTATGTCGTCACTATTTATCCCACGTGGTTCTTCCCCAGCGCTACATGTTGTTGGGTGCCAGACACGTCTTGCAGTGGAAGAAAGAACGAAAAACGATATGTACAAAAATAAAAAAGAGAGAAAAGTAAATTTACCGCAAAATAACTGTCAGAATAAATTAAATGTAAAATTGAATAGCTTTCGAATCACTCACCAATTAATAATATTGTAAGTCCGAAAAAAATATTACGAATGAGATTTAATTAAATGGCAAATTGTTCGAAAAAAAAATTTACAATATTTATGATCCACCAAATATTAGACGACATAATTTATTATTAATGATTGTTGATAATGTAGATTTACGTTAGATCAACGAATAAAACAGATATTTACAAACATAACAGAGTTCGTTTAAATTCAACACATTGTGTTATTAGGAAATTTATTTTTAAATATTATTATTTCAATAATAATTAATTATTAGTAATAAACGATTGGAAATATTATTATAATTTGTTATTATTATATTTGCTTATATTATTATTAAAATTTACTCTGCTACTGTAATGAGCGACCTGATGATGATGATGATAATGATTATAATAACTAACATTAATTAATAAATATTATTAAATAAAAATTTTTTTTTATTAATTTCCACACAAAAAAATTACAAGGATTATTTTTTTTTTTTAATACAAACAGTGTTATAATTAAAACATTTTTAATGACATAATATAAAATGAATATGAATACAAACACATAAAATAAAATTTCTTACATTTTTTAATGTTTGAAAAGATAATTATAAAATCTTAATCATATCACGTTACAGATGCGATAAAAATTATACACCCTTATGGCACCTGGGAGTTTAAAATTAATCTTACCGAGCAGCCACTTCATCATACACTACATGCAAGGGAAGAAAAGTCTGACGGACTGACGCTGTCAGTGCAGCTTTGAATCTTGAACGCATTTCATTTAGTCGCAAGACTCCCGAGTGATAATGATTTTTCGTTAAAGTAATAGGGTTGTTACCAATTTTTATGCCACGAGCTGGACAGCGATCTCGCAAGCGTAAACGGCAATGCACATAACTATAAAAAAAAGAATAATTATTAATTATTGATGCTTATAGAATATCATTATGTATCATACTAACGTGCGAGCCAAAAGTTAGCCCATTGCACCTGCTATTTTTTAAATAAAATATCTTGTGGTTAGGAATCAATTAGAAAATCTTTCAAATTTTGAAGGAATTGTAAAAAATTAATTTTTTTTTAAATTACAGGATATTCAATTAATTAAAAAAAAAATTATGGGCTCAGTCAGCTAACTTCTGATTCATAATTTTATCACTATTAGCAAAAGTTCAACAAGTATTATGTAATTATCTACTAAATTATCATTAAATCGAATGAATTAAACAAATTTTAAATATTTACCTTCGTCCATGTACACAGTAAAAAATATTGTGTATTTTGTGTCGAAAACGGTTTGTGTTAAAAATTGCAGTGTGTTAAAATAACACAAAGCTTGTGTCATTTTATTTTGTAACATAAAAAATGTGTTATATACTCTTTATTAACATATTTTGTATGTTACTGGGGAATAAACACAAAGTTTGTATCAAATTCTCCATTAATATAACAACAACTTTGTGTTGACAGCCCGTCGATTCTTCACTTTACGCAGCAAACATTTTCACGAAAATATAATAAATATTAAATACTAAAGACAATTAAATTTATATAACACTGAAGTCAGCAGACATCTAAAAATTTTTAATTTTTTTTATTAAATAAATTACAACTAAAAAGATATTTCTAAAAAATTGCACTTCTAGTTTTTAAAGTTTTTTAGATGTGACATTTTTTTTTTTTAATTGTTAAATTGAAATTTTTTCAATAAAAAATTTCTAAAAGTTTTAAAATGCCGGTTAACTTCATTTTCATAAATTTATAACTCTGCTGCTTCACTTTTAAAACCTATAAATTATTTTTTGATTTAATTATTAAAAATTTTTCATACTTTCTTCCTTCCAATTATTTATAGTCGGTAATTGTTGATGTTTCGTTAAAATATAAACGATAAAGAAAACATTTTTAAATAAATATTATTTACTGCAGTTGAGGAAATAAAAAAAAATTATTTTATAGGTTATGTTATAGGCATCAAACAGTTGATGAAAATAAATAAATTTATTTAACATTTATTTTGTGTTAAGATTGACATTTTAGAAGTGTATGATTCTTTGCGCCCTCTTGTGGCGATATTTCGGCACCGATACAGCTCAACTCAAAATTTCTTTACTCAAACCATGAGGTTACGACTTTATTCAGTCTCATCTGCATTCAACTACAACTTTACTCCATAACTATAATATGTTTACTCAATGACTGCAATATTCAGAGACATCTTTACTCAAAAAAAAATTGTCGATAAGCAAGAAATTTTTATGTTGTTGAGTCGATAGCAAAGTAAACAATTAAAAAACTTTTTATGAGAACTATGTATAAAAAACGGTACTTACATTTGTAAACTATTTTTCTATATTGTATATTACTTACTAATGTATGAAATTAATTAAAAATTTTTATATTTATAAGCATTATTTTAAAATCAAAATAAAATATAAATAAAAAAATTTTAATGCAAATAATTTGTTGAATAAAAAAAATTCCAAAATAAATAAAATTATTTTTCGTATTTATTATTTATTAAAATTACAAAGTTGCTTACATATATTTGTAATTATAAAGTTGAATATAATTAAAAAGGTCGAGTAATTTTTTTTTAAGGCATGCGTTATTTTTATTTTTGCACATAGACAAATAGGATACAAAAGTTTTTAACATAAGTTTTTAGATTAATATTAATAAATATAATATAAGTAGTATGATTGAGTTAATTTTTTTAATTTATTTATTTTAATTTTAACTTCAATATTAACTTTAATTTTTATTTTAAGTTTAATATTAATTTAATTATGAAGATGACGCTCGTGAAGCTGTGGTTGTGAATCAAGGGAATTGCTCAATTTGTCTCACAGAACTGTCAACAATAGTAGTGCTGCCATGCTTCCACTTGTGTTTATGCTTGGATTGTAACACCACGATGCAGTACTACAATGAACTCCAGCTCCAAGAAAATCAAGCATTTTTTCCGACCTGCCCAATTTGTCGTTTTTCTTGTAGTAATCTTGGTTCAAGAATTTTCGTCTTGAGTCAAGCTAGTCTTTTTATGGGTATACTAGATTTCAATAACATTTAACAGTACACAGAAAGAACAATATCTTGACTGGAGAACAAAATTCTTTGGTCAAGAAAATTTTCGGGTGCCTGAAGGAAGACCGAAGTTGTGTTGACCGAAGTAAAAATTTTTTTTGAAATCCTATTATTGATAGAAGTAATTTTTTCTTAATTCAAATTATCATAAATACTTGATACAATAAATTTTTATATTTGATCAAGATTATTAGATACTTTAGAGAAGCAGCGCCACTTAAGTAATTACTTCAGCTGAGAAAAAAATGTTGTCACCTTGAGAAAATTTTTCTCTTGAATATTTGATACCCATTTTATATTATTTTAGCGTGCAATTATACATATTTAATGAGAAAAATGATTCAATATTATTTGATCTTCTCATTTGGCATGTTAATCAATAAGAATATTAATGAAAATTTACTTCTATCGAGATATTTAATTTTTTGGAGCAAAAAAGAAATTTTCTCAAGACTAGAAAATTTACTTCTGTCAAGAACTAAATTTTTTGGAGCAAGAAGCTGAATTTTCTTAAAACAAGAAAATTTTCTTGAAAAATAAATTTTCTCGGGTTAAGATACGTATTTCTTAAAGCATGAGAATTAATTGTGTTGGAATAAGTGAAATTTTTTGTGTCAAAAGAAAATTTTTTTTTCGCTCAAGAAAATAATTCGGAAGAAAGATATTTTTTTGGCTCAAGTGAACCTTTTTTCTGTGTACATTTTTAAAATAATTAATTTTAGACTTTTATACAAATAATATTATTACAGACATTTACGTGCATCCACATTAGTACCATACATTAGTATTGTAAAAACAATGCAAGGATGGCGCAAAAATAGTTGTCCTCGAGTACCAAAGACAATTCAAGAATATGTTCAGTTGTTGAATTCCCAGCGATGGAGATCTCGTTTCTTTTCAAATGATAGCAATTTAGATGTTAGCAATATTATTGGAACTGATGGATCAGTAGCTACGGTATTTATAGATGGAATTATGCTGCAAAACTTTACAAATGTAAATCTCTATGTGGATGCAACGTATAAAGTATGCCCAAGACAGCCAAACAAAAAAATTTATCAGTTCTTTACTATAATGGCATCTTTCGATGATACTGTAAGTACTTTTTCAATACTTGGTTTATTATTTTTTAATACCAAAAATTTTAGGTGCTTCCCGTGGCTTGGAGTTTTAAGTCCCATAAAAGTATGCCCTGTTACCATTCAGTAATGAATCGTTTCCAGCAATTAACACCACACCTTCAAGTTTTGTCAATAACAACTGATTTTGAAGTCAGTTTAAGAAATGTCCTTCGTGAACTCTATCCGAATGCCGTTTTAAAGGGTTGTTATTTTCATCATGTCCAGGTGGGTATTATATTATTTACAAGTTATAATTACAAATTATATTTACAAGTTATGTTTATAAGTTATATTTACAAGTTATATTTATAAATTATAGTTACAAGTTGTATTTATAAGTTATATTTACAAGTTATATTTAAAAGTATGCATAGGTAAGCACATTAATAAATGAAATAACGTTAAAATTATTAATGGTTTATAATTTATAGGCGTTAATGAAAAAAGCTGAAAAGATTAAATTGCTGGATGTATTAAACGATTGGGACGATGGACAAGATTTTTTTCGAAAATTAATCACTTTAGCATTGTTACCAAGTCATTAAATCATACCTGCCTATAAATGGTTGCTTACATCATACAGTGCGTTTCATGCAGCTTTCCATCAATTTCTTCTTTACTATGAATCATATTGGTTGAAGGTAATAAAACCAGAAAACTTTTCTGTATTTGGGTGTAGAGACAAAACGAATAATTACGTTGAAGCAAATAACCGTCGATTAAATATGAAATTTGGTGTGCATCTAAGCATTTGGAATTCTACAGGTAATATATTTTAACTAATTTTGATTGTTAATTATCTTTTTGTTCGATTTTTAATGCGAATTATTGTTTCAATTGAATTTTACTCGATTTAAGATTGTTTCTACTTCTTCCATGATTATGAAACTCGTCAAAATGATGTTCTTAGTTAAAAAATTTTGCTTTTGATCGGGTTAATTTTTTTTAACATATAATTTATTCATTGCAAGTTTTTAATTTCACTAGAAAAATTTTAATTATTTATTACTGATGAGTATGTAATACGGAACTACTTTATTTATCAAGTCTGATTTAATAATTATTTATGATGAAACAACGCAGAAATAGTTTAATTTAAATATTGAAACTTATAGAAAAACCGATGGCCCTGTATCAAAAAAGTAAAACTGAGCTATAATCATTGATGATGGGTCTTCCTGTCAGAAGACAAACTCGCATTAAGTATTTAATTGAAGAAGCTGTTCTATGGAGAGCTTGGGACTTATACAATGCCAATGTATTAGATTTTAAACATTTTTTAGAATGTACAAATAAAATGATAAGAATATTTGAAAATGATCGAGGCCTATTCTCAGTCAATGAAGTTGATGGTTTTATAAATGCTGAAATCAAGATGTATAGTAAGTCTATGCCGCAAATGTAATGTAGCTTCATCTCGAGATCTATTAAATTAAAATTAATTCTAGAATTCATTTTAACTTCATAGATTTCGAAAAAAATTTTATTTATTTATGTTAGTAAACTTGGAATTTTTCTTTCAGTTGCAGTTGATTAAAACTTATACATAGCCATCGATGAAGGTGACAACAATCGTCCAGAATACATTATTTTTATTACTGAAAATTGATAAAACTACAATAATAATCATTTAGCCAGTAACAATTATACTGCATTGAATGATGGATTGTTGTCACTTGTATGAGCAGATACTCAAGCTACACTGATTCAAATATTCACAAAAAAAATGTGACGAAGATTTTAAAGTTATTTTCTCGAGCATTAAAAAATGTACGAAATAGAAAGCATGATTTTTACTAAAAATGTTTAAATTATAACACTGCATTAAAAAAAAAAAAAATAATCCTTGTAATTTTTTTGTCTGGAAATTAATAAATAAAACTTTCATTTAATAATATTTATTAATTAATGTTAGTTATTATAATCATTATCATCATCATCAGGTCGCTCATTACAGTAGCAGAGTAAATTTTTAATAATAATATAAGCAAATATAATAATAACAAATTATAATAATATTTCCAATCGTTTATTACTAATAATTAATTATTATTGAAATAATAATATTTAAAAATAAATTTCCTAATAACACAATGTGTTGAATTTAAACGAACTCTGTTATGTTTGTAGATATCTGTTTTATTCGTTGATCTAACGTAAATCTACATTATCAACAATCATTAATAATAAATTATGTCGTCTAATATTTGATGGATCATAAATATTGTAAATTTTTTTTTCGAACAATTTGCCAATTAAATCTCATTCGTAATATTTTTTTCGGACTTACAATATTATTAATTGGTGAGTGATTCGAAAGCTATTCAATTTTACATTTAATTTATTCTGACAGTTATTTTGCGGTAAATTTACTTTTCTCTCTTTTTTATTTTTGTACATATCGTTTTTCGTTCTCTCTTCCACTGCAAGACGTCTCTGGCACCCATGTTGTTGAAACGATACAAACGCTTCACGCGGCAAGTCTTTAAATTTAAATGTATACAATAAATTATACGTAAGTACCCACCCTGATAGCTACAGTTTCAGACCAACCAAGTTGGTGTCAGATAGTGGCCACCAACTTACGGACAACTTGCGGTCAACTTCCGAATTTGAAACTGTTGGCGTCAAGTTGGCTACAAGTTTCTGAGAAAAACAAGACCAATCTACTGCCGCAATATGTCGCCAAATTTCTCGAGAAACTTGTCGTCAACTTGGTGCGAAAGAGTTTCGAAAGCAATTTCTGCCACCAACTTGGTGACAAGTTGCTGCAGCAAATCAACGGAAAGTTGCGACCGGTTTGGCTATCAGGGCAAGTGGCACAAATTTTTTTTTGTTAATGTTTTGTTGAATTTAAGTTGACGATTATTAATTTTTTAAACTTCTTGTTAAATAAAATCTACCAAAAAGTCAACATTTTTTTTTTGTGACGCTTGGGTACAGTAATAAAATAGCGATGATGGCATGATGGCATGATGGCCATCCGAAGAAGATTTGAATTTTAATGAAAATTGTAAGCTTATCGACCGATGACAATCACCCGAATTTTGAATAAAGGAATCTTCTTTAGTTATAACTACCCTGATAGCCACCTTACCTATAACTTACTGTCAATCTACGTCCGCAATTTGAAGCAAACTTGACGGAAAGAGTTGGCAAAGCGAGCGATTACCTATTAGTTACCTATAACTTACTCTCCAAATAGACGTCAAAACTTGCTGTACAAGTATTTCCGTCAAATTGTAGTAAAGTTGAAAGGAAATTTAACTACAAGTTTGATTGCTAACTTGTATTCAAGTTGCGGCCATAGATTTCCGTCAATTTGCTTACAACTGTTGTTGAATGAAGAATTACCGCCAACTTGATGTATAAATTAACCGTAACTACTGGAAGTCAACGCTTACTGAGAAAGCGCTGGCAATCAGGGTATCAGGGTATATAATATTTAATTATTTTATAGCGTACCGGAATGTAATTTGCGCGCGCAAGCGTGCGCCTGAATATAGAGTTAACATATACTTTCATGCCCCAAGCGTCACATAAAAAACTGTTGACTTTTTGGTAAATATTATTTAACAAGAAGTCAGAAATTAATAATTGTCAACTTAAATTCAACAAAATATTACCAAAAAATTTTTCGTGCAACTTGTGTGCTTATGCACATTAAGAGTGCGGAAACAAAATCTTATTACTACTATTTTAAAAATTAACTATATCAACTTAACTCTTTGAAAATGATTCAAAAAAATTGAGTAGAATGCAATATGTTTGCCTCAACATACTGTTTATGATTTATTATGATAAAATAAAAAGACAGTAGACATTTTTTAAAAGGTCTTATTGTAATATAGATGTATAGTATGCAATGCCAAGAAATACAATCGTTTAAAAGTTAGTATTTTTTTACGTCGTTCGGTAATTTATCCGTATTGTATCCATCAGTTATTGATATTTAGTTGAAATTATATGAAACCGAAGCAGTTGAATATAACTGATCCTAAATCATATATTAAAAATAAACGACTATGTTTTTAACATCGTTTTCTTACTCGTTATGAAAAGAATAAAATACAAATAGTTGTAAAGAAGACCGGAAATTTTTGATTTTTAGGATGAGTTTACTACACCCAAAACGGTTGACCCTAAAGGCCATCCCTGCAACTTCCCACCAATCCCACAACTAAACGCTTGAAATTGCACTTATGACGTTTCTGAGCTCTTCGAGCTCAAAAATACAATTTGTGTGTTATTTTGAGCTCTCCGAGCTCAAAGAATTACCTCTTGTATGCTTTAGAGCTCTTCGAGCTCAAAAGCCTAATAGAAGTTTAATACAACAGTATTTGTTGAATTTTCAAACTACAATCATTTCTAAATGAATGAATCGATTTTCACGCGGTTGTTAGTAATCCACGCACTTTTTCAGAATCTATGATAGACTATTGAACACAAACTGATCGAACCGAAAATCTTAGAGAAATTTGAAAAATTCACTTTTTTCAAATTTTTTCGATAACTCACGAACCAATCAACCAATTTTCACGTTTTTGGTAGCGATCGACGTGATTTTTTGGGCTCTAAGAATTATTTTATTTCGTCAAAAACGATCCGAAAAGAAATGTCGAAGTTATGTGAAAAAAAACTTTTTTCGAAATTTTTCGTTTTTGATAACTCTCGAACGAATTAACCGATTTTGATGGGACTGGTGGCAATCGACGTGGTTTTTCAAGGTTAAGAGCTGATTAGTTTTTGGAAGTGATTAGTGAAGCCATTTAAGGAAGTACGAGCGCCAGGCGGGGTGGGGATAGGTATCGACTCTAGCGCGGTAAGGGGAACGCAGTAACCATATGATTTTTTTCAATACATAGATTGATATACATTTAACATTGGCTAGTGGCGGCATTTATTTTTCTTTTAATTAATACACTTTAATTAGTCGGGCAAGTGTAAATATTTTTGAATTAAATTTATCACTAATATATTTACTTTCATCCATAAGTTTTTTAAAAATATTCACCGACAGTTTTATGAGAAAAATACAGAAATATATCAATGTTCGAAGGTTACCCCATAAGACCAATGTTGAATTGCTCAATTTTAAAGTTAATTATTTATTTAAATGATCGGGCAATCTCCTTCAAATTTTCAGGATTTGTTTAGACATATTTAAACTTCATATTAAAAAAAAATCAAGCCTTTTATCAAAAGTTGCCTTGGTGCTCGTACTTCCTTAGGAGATTTTTTGAAAAAATATTTTTTTTGAAATTTTTCGTTTTCGATATCTCACAAACGGATCAACCGATTTTGACCGGTCCAACGGCGATCGACGTGGTTTTTCAAGGTTAAAAGCTGATTAGTTTTTGGAATCAATCGGTAAAGCCGTTTAAAAGTTATTCCAAAAAAACGATTTTTTGAAAATTTTGTTTTTGAGATTTCTAAAAATCTAGCGAACCGAATCAATTCAAATTTTCACAAAATTTAATGGCTATGATACTCTTTGGATCGCCACCGATTTCGATCCGATCGGCCAAGCCGTTCAAAAGTTATAAGAGGTTTACATACATACATACATACATACACACACACACACACACACACACACACACACACACACACACACACACACACACACACACACACGGAGGGTAGAGTTGTTCGCGTCCGTAGGTTCTGCTTTTACACCCTACTAGAGGGGGGATACCTCAGTACCGGCGAGGGAAGGCGTACAAACGGGCCCGAACTTGTCGTTATCAATTGACCGTTTGAACAGTGGAGTGGACCCCATGGCTCTGCTGTTTAGCAATGCTACAGGGAGTAAAGAAACAGCTCAGATGGAAGTGGACGCACAGCAAACAAACCTTCCTCTAATAAGTGGAAGACCTGTTGCTCCCGTCAACACTCACGCATACCGAGGGAGGATCAACTCTCTACCGACTGTCACCGGCCAACTTACGCCAATGGAACGGCTCGGTAGCAAAATCGAAGAATTGGCTGAGTTTATAAAGGATAAAAGAAATGTACATCATGAACTCAGAAAAATAGTAGCGTCCATTGGCACGGCATATAAGTTGGCCAACAAACCAGTGACGAAGTCGGCGACAACCACGCAAACATCTCCGGGTCTGAACAAAAAATCACACTCGTTTTTGGTCACCCCTGAGAAATCCCAGCATGGAGAAGAAAACAACAAGAAGAGGCCGCTGTCTACGCCCAGCCCTTCTTCAGAAAACAAGAAGCCAGTACAGAAAAAGCCAGCCCGGGGCGACACCTGGACTAAAGTGACTGGGCAAAAGAAAAGGAAGGAAACAAAACAGGAGCCAGCGGCACAATCTAGTGAAACCCAAAACCAACCAAGTACGGCTGGCACTAAGAAACCAAGGAGAAAGAAGACAAGAACAAAAGCTGTCC